AAACAAATCCTAGAGGTACAACTCTGACAAAACTGTAGAGAGAGAAATACAAAGGAGTCAGACCCAGGTAAGAGGGAGTAAGGCAGAACCTTACTTATTCTTAGGTTAATAAATTAATAATCTAAACTTATTGTCCCCTCTTTATATGAGTTCTGCCTTTTGCTACAGCTCAGGCTGTGTGCCTAGACCTATCTACACTATTCTACAAATTCAAGAGCAATAAACTGGTAGCAAATCCTAACTAGGACTCAACAGGATTTGAAGAGCTTTTCAAAAATGTGTTCTAGGTTATGTTCCTATTGTATCTGCTGCACTCATGCTGAGTGACACCAACCAAAGAGCACAAATAAAATATAAATATAAACTTCAGTGACCTAATGCACATCAGGGTGACCACAAATAATAACCCTGTACTCATGTTTTAAAATACTCAAAGTATAGATATGTAATATGCTTACTGCAAAAATAATAATCAGATAATGCAATGGATATAGTAACTACTTTAATCATTTTATAATATAGACATATATCAAAACTTCACATCATGCCCCATTAATAAATGATACATACCATTATTTCTCAAAGTTTTAGGGAAAAAACCTGAGTAGATGAGCTCTGAGGATTTCCATATTAAAACAGGAGTTACTCAAATATGCTGTTTGTTAACATCATTTTTGTTGTTTTAACAAGCCAGTATATCTAAAAACATATTTCCAAGTGACACAAAAGCAATTGAGATCATCATAAATAACTGCACAGTGTTCCTTTTTATGAATATGGAATGATTTAATTAATTAATCTCTTAGTAGTAGACATTTAAATATCTTAATCTTCCTGTCCAAACAATGCTACAATAAACTTTTTGCATATCTGATTATTCCAAGAAGTTAGATTTTAGTAAAAAAAAAATTACATATATTCTTACTTATTTAAAATAGCCAACAAATATATCCCTTCATTCATACTTAGCATTCAATCTGACCTGCAATCTAGCATGTAAAAATGCTATTTAATTTGTCTTTCTATTATTTTAGGGAATTTGACCAATTTTCATATACCTAGTGGTTATTTATTTCTTTTTATATTTGTCTACTCATTGTTTCCTATTTTTCTATTGTATTGTTTTTCATCTTTTACCAAATATACAGAGAATTAAAATAAATGAACTGCTAGAAATCCAACAGTTCACTTGAACAATGAACTAGTGAAATAGCCACAGTTCTCAAAAGATGAAATACAAATGGTCAGTTGACATTTTAAAAAGTTTTCTCCCTTCCTGGCCATCAGAGAAGTGCAAATTAAAACTAATTTTACCTCACCTCAGTCAAGATGGTAGTCACTAAGTAAATAAAATCATGTGCTTGTGGGATTTGGTCAAAAGAGAATAATACTTATACAATGTAGGTTGAAATGTAAACTAGTCCAGCAAGTATGGAAACCAATATGGCGTTTCCTCAGAAAGCCAAAAAAAAAGATCTACCATATGACCCAGCTAAACTGCTCCTGTATAGTTAGCAAAAAATTCTAAATAATATATTACAAATATGCACATCCATGTTTATTGCAGCACCATTCATAATAGGTAAGTTACAGAATTAACTGGGTATCCAACAACAGAAGACTGGATAAAAAATATATGTCAAATACACACAGGAATTGTTTAACATAACGAGTGAAGTTTTGCTATTTGCAGGAATATGGATGTACCTGAGGATAATTATATTGGGTGAATTACATCTGTCTCAGAAAGATGAATATCATTTTTTCTCATTTGTAGGTTCCACAATTTATATTGATACATAAAATGATTAACCAGTCATTCTGAAGCCATATAGTGAATAATTTACAATTTATTCACTAAATTAGAATGCTGTATTATATAGGCCATATATGTTTTAGGTTTTCTTGTTTCTTTTACAAGTTGACCTGTGCTGAAGCCAGTATCAAGGTATTATAATTGTCATGTCTTAAAAGTAATTTAAATGGCTGGTAGAGAATATCTTATTATTCTTTGTTTCAAAAAATATATTGTCATTATCACACATTTTATTCTTCCAGATACATTTTGGGATTATTTTGGCAAGATTTTGTTTTGATAGTTTTAAATTTATATACTTTATTAGGAGAGAACGGAAATCTCTAAAATATTTTATCTTCTCCTTGAAGATCACCACGCATCTTTTTATTTAATTCAGACTTTCTATTACATACCTCAATAATTTTTCTAATTTTACCTTGTAAGTTCCATATTAAAACTTTCTATATGAAGTATGAGAAACTGCATTCTTCAGTCTTCACTGTAGGTTAATGATAATCATATTCACATGATACAATGACACTGATAGTGGTTAAGTCACCTACTTTATTCCTTTACTCAAAATGGTGTGTTTTCTTAAGTGGAAAAGAGCTTAATTAGACATTGATGTGAAGTCAAACTGGGTGGAAACTTCATGGGTCTAACAGAAAAGAAGAGGAACAGGGAGGTTGTGGGGAAAAAACTGTCTTGTTACAAGGTCTCAGTTCCTGCTGAGGCATGGAATCATATTTAAGATTTGTGATTTAAAAAATAAGAATATGACCACAAAGAAAATGTAGAACATCAGCCAGTCAATAATTTCAGAGCCATCATGCATGCAGAGTACTTCATGCCAATTATATGACCATGCTGAGTGTTATAAAGCATTGAAATGAATGTTCTCTTTGCAGTTCTACAGTGTATCCTTATATGCTTTAACATGAGAAAGAATGTATTTGCCAGCCATTTCACAATGACTTTTTAAAGCACTTGATAATATATTGTTGATATAATTTGCTATTGAAAAATAAACAGTATCTAAGAGTGGAGTTTAATGTTTAGTCTCTGATGAGCAGGAGCTGATAGGTATTTGTATTATCTGTGCTAATTGTTCTGCCACCTAGACTACAACATGGAATTATATGACCTTCTAAAACTAAATTGGAGCAGGCCCAGGTCCCACTTCAATTCCTCTGTCAACTGAAAATACAGAAGCTGGCTATAAACAAACAATGGAAAAAGATATCTGACACACTCGGAATGCTTTTTCTTCCAACTATAATCATTCACAGTATATCTCCATTGTGTGCAATTTTCAATGGAGTTATGCTGGCTCTACCACCAACTTGTGGCTTGGTACATCTCCATATATTTTGTTCATTTCATAACTTAAGAACTAAGAATCCTATTAAAACATTTTATTGAAAAGCTTTTAATGTCCTTAACAGGTCAGATTTTGTGTTACTGTCACTGATGGACCAATGCTATAAAGAGACAGTAATACAATGCATTTCCTGGAAGAAATATTAACAGAGTCCAGAAATATTACAAACTGAGTCACAATTCAAGAAAATTTGGGGAAAACATTTTGCAAGTATGTTACAGAAGTAATTCAAGCTTTGTATAGAGGAGTAAGCTTGATGTGACCAAACAGAATTTTAAATTCTTTCTCATTCATTGGATTAATAGTCTTAGAGCAAACCAAGGATGTAATTCCACACAGGTCAATAGTCTTGAAGAACATAGATGAAAGAATACCTTTAACAAACACTATAAAACTCAATTCAACATCACATTAAGAATTATCCATTATGATCAAAAAGGATTTATTGTTGAGATCCAAGGCTGGTTCAATACATATAAATGAATAAATACAACTCACCACATCAACATAATGAAAAATAAAAATCATATGATAATTTCAGCAAAGATAGAAAAAGCATTTGACAAAATTTATCTCATGATAAATACTCTGAATAAACTAGGTAAATGTTCCCTTAGCAGAAATTAAAGGTCATATATAAGTCTGTAATTAACATCATACTTGTAATCTAGTAAAAAGACAAGGATGTGCATTGCCTACTACGGTTCAACACAATGCTGGAAGGTAGAACCTGTTTCATCATAATGACCCTTATTTTTGTTATCATAGAAAGGGGTATAAATTCCGTTACAAGTATTCTGCTTACGATTATTACTAAACCTGTAAACAAACCAAATATGCTAGACATATCATTATTCTGATATAGAACTCTAAAAATTTCATCCATATAGTGAAACAGAATAAATAATAAAGAAGTAATAGAGTTTTAAAAGACTATTTTCTTCCATTTTTTTATCCCTAATACACAATGGGCAGAGTACTTGAGGATGTATTTTGAACTATCTCTTTGGTGACTCTGCTTACTTACGCATCTCTATGTTCTACATGCATACATGTCTATCAAGACCTACTATGTGTTGGGCTGATACTGGGAGCAATGTAACAAAAGCAAAGTATTAAGCAAATCATATGTTTTTGGATCACATCTTCCTTTGAGCAACTCTTATCCTGAAAAGAGGGAGGTTAGTTTCTCTGTACATCTATAAGGACTCAAGTTGTACATGATTGTGATTTGTTTTCTCTCCTGACTTAAGAGGACTTCCTTTGCTTACTGTGATTTATCACACAAAGCATGGGCTTTATTTCTGGCTTACACAACCTACAGGCCTGAGAGTACCATCACTAGCAATGTAAAAACACATAAAAAAGTAATGTACTGTTTTTTTTAAAGCATCTAATTAGCTAATGTATGAATCTATGTATGATTACAGGTGTCAGTAGGAGGACGCATTGACTAAGCCAACATCTATGCTGTGCCAAGCTAACAGAGTGATAATTTCCACAACTGGTCATTTTCTCAAGGGCACTCTTGGGTTCAGTCAAGCTAAAGCATCTTGTTTTCAAATGCAGTAAATAGTCCTAATAATGGAAGTATTATGAGGATCTGAATTGTTAATATCTTATTAAAACATCTATAAAAAACAAGCAACATACCACAGCATTAAACCATCTTCTTTAAATGGTTTGATTCTGTGTGATCAATTTTTGGGGGGCCACTGTCTTTCAATTTGTAGTATATGTTACTGTCCTTTTGCCCAGAAATACTCAAGGAAAGAACTCTGGAGACACATTAACAGATCTACTATTGCATTTTTCTCCCAGGGAAGCAGAAGTATCTATGTGCCAGCAGAAATGATTGCACCATTGATAAATTTCGGAGGAAAAATTGTCCATCTTGTCGACTCCGGAAATGTTATGAAGCAGGGATGACTCTGGGAGGTATGGATATTTTCCTCTTTTTTCTTCTTGTCCTTCTTCTGCTTGCCTCCACCCTTTAAAATTATTGCTTTAGATCTGGTTCTTCTCTATAATACTTCTAAGAATATCATATACTCAATAGATTCAGGCCGACTTTCCCATGGTGCCTTCTCTATTTTTACCTATGGCATTCATATATTTGGAGTTTGACATAGGACCAAGAGGCATGAAGTAAGGATCAGAAACTAACAGAAGATGAATGAGGGTGTGCTTTTTGGATTCAGTTCCTCAAGTGATATATTGATACTGGCCTGGTAGGGATGAGAGAACCAAGTAATCAAAACTGTCACAGGTGCAAGATGAGCATGGCACAGGCAGGCTCTGAACACCTGGGACTATCTGTCAGCTAACTGCTGCATGTACTGTAGAGACAGCCAACTGGAGTGTAAAGCTGCTTCTCTTTGGATCCTGTGACTAAAGTACCAAACAGAGCCAATTTCCTATCCTGTGTCTCCCAGAAATCAGCAGGCTTTTTAATCATTTCCTTTTCTTTACAAATCCATTGATCATTTCCAGAAACATTTTTCCCAATGGCACAGAAGCTTCTTAGAAGATATAGCCCTCTCAAGGGTGACCCTCTATCATAAGTCTCTGTGTCCCATGAGCTTGTGTCTACCATGAGCTCTGTTGTCCTTCCATAATGGCTTCATACTATTTGATGATACATATTTCCCCTCTTCTAATTCTTCATATCTTCATCTGCCCCATGCCAGAATCCACGCTGCTGCCTGATGCTTCCAAACAGATGCATCTTTCATGAGAAAAATAAGCTCATTAGTCTAGTTTTATTTAGAAAAGGAACTCAAAGGAAAACAAATCTATTTCTGAGTGCCTAAAACTATAACCTTATATTTGATTACTCAGTATCAATTGGGAAAACCCAAATGACTGGATTTCAGCCCGCTTTTCTCCCATATCAGGGCTAATTTGGAACAGTAGTTATCTCTGGCTTTCTATAAGGCACTCAATGCCTATATTTCATTGTAGATAACTACATCCTCCCCTCCTCACAGACCAGTCATGCTTTTAACCAGACCATAATACTGCAAGCAAATTGTTTCAGGCTTGATCTGTGACAATTTCAACATGAACATCTCAAATAATATGTGGTACTCTAAGTCATCACAGGTAGATGCTCTGTGAGTTATTTTCCAGGCAACCACATCAAATGAGATTCAAATATTTGACAAAGTCTGACCTTGTTTTTGCTTCTTTGGTCTACTCTAAGGACATCCTATAGTTGTGATATGCAGTGGGGAAGAAGCCACAAGACCATTTGGGGTGGGGTAGAAAGAAATCCAGGAGAGGTCACAGAGGGAATGATTGAAAAGAAAGGTTTTACTACATGGATAAGTCCTGAGCAAATATTATGATACACTCTCCTCTCAATAATTTAACCTCCTGTGAATTGTGCATAATTATAGAGTGGCTTCTAGGTTGAGGATCCCCTGTTAAGACATTGGTTTCATGTCAGAGCCCATATCCTCCATTAAGAAATAAAGGTCTTCTGGCATTACTACAATGGACCTCTTTGGAAGAGAAATCTGCATGTGACTAAGATTTTTACTATACAGTTTAGCACTGTGACATAAATTTGTGAATTCAGTCACTGAAGGAGTGGTACAAAAAAGCTATCTGATTGGTTTACTGGAAAAAGTGGTCAAGTTGAGTGGGCATCAATGCTGAATTGCTATGGACAGTTTTTAACCTCAGTTTCCTTCCCATGAAATATTAGTGAGTATCACATACATACAAGACAGCACATTGGACACAGGAGGTTCAGGTTAAGAAACTTCAAAAAAGCTAGAAGATAGATCTTCATGAAATGCAAGGATCCTTGTTTTTTGCCTTTTGCTATGCAGGAAATTGAACCTAGCACCTTGGGCATGCTAGGCAAGTATTATACCACAGAGATAGATATCCAGCCAACTCATAGAAGGATTATTGATGTTGTGTAAATGGCTTTACCTTTGAAGTCAGACAGACCTAGATTAAAAGCCAAGATGTATTATTTACTCCGTGCCCCCTGTGAACTTCATTTTCATTATCTGTAATTTACAGATATCATCCTCAGAGTTACAGTTAGGAGAAAATGAAACGGTGAATAAGAGCATCTTTGAGAAAGTGCTAGACAAATGTGAGGAGTTCTTATTACAATGAGGTCACCAGCATATTAGGTAGATGCAGGCTGTTCTTAGCACTTTCCAATGAGTTTCTCCACAATAACTAGCTTGGCTTGCCATGCAATATGTGGTATGTAACAACAGTCAGTGGATCACAAAAAAAAAAATCACTTCTGATTACCTCGCACTGAAAAGTGCTACTAGCATAATGCTTAAAATCTGATTTCAGTAATTTAGAAAAGTTTATGTTAATTTTGAAGTACCAAGTCAGTGAAAACCAAAGTGTTTATTCTCTTTGTCTTAAAATATGAACCTCTGCACATTGCTGGAGTTATCATCACATCCCCTACTTGCTGACATAACTTCTTCCAAGGTTTATTGTTAACTTACAGTATCAGTATATAACACATTTTTTTATTCAGTGGAAAGATAAAAGAAAGTATCAATACATAGTGGCCTTTGTGAATACATTGGCAATAGCTCCTCACTTTCATAAGATTTGGGTTTAGTATTAACTTTTCGGTCACCTTTAAGAATAATTTACATAATTTTGGTTCCTTTTCTGTATCACTCACACTACCATTATGTAATATATAATAAAGCAACAATTCAGAATGTGGTCTTGTGCAAGTCCCTTTTCCCTCCCAGGATGATTAGATTTATCAAGGACCCTTCTGCTGTTATAATTTTGTCCTTTGATATCAAAATCTACAAAGAAAAGATTGTAGGATTATCACCTTTTACTTCAATTGCCAGTCACCTGCTAATAGAAGTACTAATACAAGAGATTGATTTTCACAGCAATGTTAGCTGCCCCTATTCACACCTATGTAAGGTATGTGCCAAAACCATACTCTATGAACAGATTGTTGAAGAAGTGGAGGGCAAAGCAGATGTTTTGAATTCTTGGAGAATATGGCGCTCTATAGCTGATGTCTGCTTGGGCTCAACATCGTATGATCTCTAGCATGGATGTGTCTATAGTGTTCCACTTGCTAATGTTGGGAGCTCTTAAATTAGGAGACAATAAGTACAGCTTTTTCTTCATGTTTCTATGCCTACCTTCCTACCCCCTTGCTTCTTTTTTTAGAAACTATTGGTATTTATGAAACAATCCTATGGGTGGTGAGTTCTCAGGATGACCTTTCAGGCTCTTAAATGCCCATCCATGGAAAAATAGATGCCTTTCTTTGTTCTTGATTGATGTCTGGATGCTTTTGAAAACCATACATCAAGAATTGCTTAAAAATTTTAAATGCCTTGCCAATTTGTTTTTTTAGGAAAACCCTTAACTGTCTGGATAAGGACCTTGCCTCCAGTGAATTGATAGTGACTTTTACATAGCACATAATTCAGATAAATGCACTGGTATCACTCATTTTGTTTTGTACTTGCCAAGAAACACTTCCAGTTTCCAAAATGAAATCAGGAATAAAGAATAAGCCTTCCTGCCTTCTTCTTTCCTGACCCTTTCCTTTGCTCATGTTCCATTTGTCCACTTATTGCCCTGGCCAACTATCATTTCGTTTTGTATTCTAAGACTAAGTTCTCAGTATGTGGTAAATAGCATGGAACTCAGTATTCCTTTCCCTGAACCATACCATGGTATGACTGTACAGGAATTGCAGGTAGCAGCTACCCCCTACAAGAAGGAAAGAACCATGGAGACCCAGAGCATGTGAGCACTGATAAAGTGTACATTTATTTCAAAGGTTATTTGAGCCTGTTATCACAGTGTTTGTGGGGCTGACAAAGGAATATCCTAACTTTAAGGCTAGTAACTTGAACTACATAGTAGCTTCCAGGCCAGCTAGGAATATAGTGTGGGGCATCTTCAATAAACAAGCAAGCAAAAGATTAATTGAGAAGTTTCTTTACTACTAAGAGATTGAACTTTGCCTCTAAGGATAAAAATCTTAATATGTATTCACGTTTTAACAATGTCTATGAGTTCTGTAGTTAGGAAAATAGTTCATGGAGCCCTAGCAATAGTCTGATGCCATGATAAACAGTAATTTCCAATATTCAAGGTAATCCCTTTGCCACCACCTCCAAGAGAAGTACAACGTTGCTCCTTCCATATCATGTATCCTAGATGCAAGAAAATGACTGCAATGGTGAAATACAATTTATGGCATGGTTCCTTATGTATTTTTTTAAAAAATTCATTGATATGACTTCATTTTTCTGTGCACTCACCCATCTACAAATACATTTAATGAGTACCTATTGACTGCTAAATATGTACCGCACTCTATACAAGACATCTTGGGAGGACAAGCCTAATAATTGAGATTTAAATGTATGTTTTAAAAATTATATAGGGACAAGGAAAGGCGCAAAACTACACAGAGAAACCCTGTCTCGAAAAACCAAAAAAAAAAAAAAAATTATATAGGGACAAGGAGGTAGCTCAGTGGGTGAAGGCAATTGCTGCCAAGCCCTACATCCCATATTTGATCTTTGGAACCTACATTGTGCAAAGAGGTAACCAACTTCCTCAGATTGTCCTCTGTCCTCTGTGGCACTATCACACCCACATGCATGTGAATACATGTGTACACACACTAAACACTAAATAAATATTTTTTTAACATTATGTCACATGAGGGGGACAGCGATTATGGTTATACTTTAGTCTTAAGTTATAAGGAGAAAATGATTGGGGAGAAGTTTAGTGAGATGAGGGAAGGGGCATTTAAGGCCATGGGCACAACTTGAATAAAGGCACAGAGACATAAAAACTATGATGTGGCTTTAAAGAGCAACAAGTGATTTTAACATGGCTAGAGATAGGAAAATAGGGAGGCGAGCTGAGACCACACTGAAAGTGAGCCC